CCTTGCAGTGAATGACTCTAGCTTCCTTTGGAAGTAAAGCAACTTTGAGAAGAGTTTTTATTAAAGAGGCATTAATGATGGAGGACCCTTGCATAGTGAGGAAAAAAAATTTTTTTTGCCCATATAACAGCATGGTGATGCACGATATGGAAGGCATATTTAGAGTCAGTGTAAATATTGACGCATAGTCCTTTTGCAAGAGTGAGGGCTCGAGTTAAGGCAATGAGTTAGGCTTGTTGACAGGTGGTGGGGGAGGGGCAGAAAGTATATGCGTCAGGTGTGAGGAAGAAAATAGATTTTGGAAGTTATGAGAACTGTAGAGAGTGAGTTGAGCATAGTTTGTGATTTTGAGAGCCTTTAAAATTATTAAGGCAGCAGCAGCTGCCACACACAGACATGAGGGCTAGGCTAAAACAGTAAGCTCAAGTTGTTTGGATAAAAAGGCTACAGGGCGCGGTCCCGGTCCTTGTGTAAGAATTCCGACTGCATAGCCCTGCACTTCGGCTGTGTGTAATGAAAAGGGTTGGGATGAGTCAGGGAGAGCTAGTGTGGGGGGCAGTTTTTAAGGAATGGAAAGGAGTGGCAAAAGGATTTAGGATCTGTGGGATCAGCTAGGTTTGCTTTTGTGAGTTTATATAATGGTTTATTCAGGATGGTAAAACTAGGTATCCAAAGGCAGAAGTACCTTACCTAACCATGCCTAGGAAGGAAAGGAGTTGTTGTTTTGTAGAAGGGATTGGGGTTTGGTAGATTAACGGACACGATCAGCAGGGAGAGCACGTGTGTTTTCATGAGAATTATGCCAAGACAGGTAACAGATGAGGAAGAAATCTGGGCTTGACTGAAGTAATGGGGGCTGTCTGTGAAGCTTTGCAGCAGTACAGCCCAGGTAAGTTGCTGAGGCTGAAGGGTGTCAGGGTCAGTCCAAGTGAAAGCGAAGAGAGGCTGGGATGAAGGGTGTAAAGGAATAGTAAAGAAAGCATGTTTGAGATCCAGAACGGAATAATGGGTTGTGGAGGGAGGTATTGAGGATAGGAGAGTATATGGGTTTGGCACCACGGGGTGGATAGGCAAAACAATTTGGTTGATAAGGCACAGATCCTGAACTAACCTGTAAGGCTTGTCTGGTTTTAGACAGGTAAAATGGGGGAATTGTAAGGAGAGTTCATAGGCTTTAAAAGGCCATGCTGTAACAGACAAGTGATAACAGGCTTTAATCCTTTTAAAGCGTGCTGTGGGATGGGATACTGGCATTGATCGGGGGTAAGAGTGATTAGGTTTTAATGGGATGGTAAGGGGTCCATCATCCGTCACTAAGAAGGGAGTAGAGGTATCCTATACTTGTGGATTAAGGTGGGGAGATACAAAGAGAGGGTGTGAAGGAGGCTTTGAACTGGGGGAAAAGGTGAAAATGAGGTGTGGCTGTAGCCTAGGAATAGTCAGAGAAGCAGATAATTTAGTTAAAATGTTTTGACCTAATAAGGGAGCTAGCTGGGCAGGTAGAGATAGCTAAAAAGGAGTGCTTAAAAGAGTATTGTCTAAGTTGGCACCAGAGTTGGGGAGTTTTAAGAGGTTTAGAAGCCTGGCTGTCAATACCCACAACAGTTATGGAGGCAAAGGAAACAGGCCCTTGAAAAGAAGGTAATGTGGAGTGGGTAGCCTCCGTATTGATTAAGAAGGGGACGGACTTACCCTGCACTGTAAGAGTTACCTAAAGCATCTGTGATGGTCCTGTAGGCTTCCGAGGCGATCGGGCAGCATCAGTCTTTAGCCACTAAGTGGAGAAGATCTGGGAAGGAGTCAGTCAGAGAGCCCTGGGCCAGAGTTCCAGGGGCTCTGGGAGTGACCGCCAGGCGAGTTGGACAGTCCGATTTCCAGTGGGGTCCCGTACAGATGGGACATGGCCTAGGAGGAACCCCGGGCTGCAGGCATTCCTTGGCCCAGTGGCCAGATTTCCGGCACTTGAAGCAAGATCCTGGGGTAGGTAGTCCTGGAGGAATGCCTGGCCGCTGTGGTTCAGGCGTTTGGAAGTTCTTGTGTGCTGGAGATGTGGCTGGGTTTTGTCTCACAGTGGAGGCAAGGAATTGCAACTCAGAAATACTTTGCTACTTGGCTGCCTCTACTCTATTATTGTAAACCTTGAAGGCGAGGTTAATTAAGTCCTGTTGTGGGGTTTGAGGGCTAGAATTTAATTTTTGGAGTTTTATTTAATGTTGGGAGCGGATTGGGTAATAAAATGTATATTGAGAATAAAATGTATATTGAAAATGTATATTGACATTTTTGGGTCTGGTGCTTTAAGGCTGCTGCCAAATAAGCCATGAACTGGGCTGGGTTTTTATATTTGATGAAAAAGAGCCTAAATGCTAACTGATTTGGGAGAGGTCAGATAAAGAAAAAGGAGCATTAACCTTGACTATGCCTTTAGCTCCAGCCATCTTTTTAAGAGGAAATTGTTGGGCAGGTGGGGGAGGGCTAGTGGTGGAACAAAACAGTAAGCCAGACAGGGTGTGAGGAGGGGAGGTGATAAAAGGATTATAGGGTTAGGGAGCGGAGGCTGAGGAAGAATTGGGACCTGGCTTGGCCTGGTGAAGAGCAGCCTGGGGAGGAGGGGAGAGGTCATATGGGTCAGTAAAAAAGGAAGATTGGAAAGACTCAACAACGCTTGGGGTTGGGACTGAGGGGACAGGCGGGAGGGAAAGAAGCAAGATTTGGGACGAGTTGCATTGGGAACAGAGACTAGGGAGGGACCAACGTGTAAAAGAATGCCTGGACGTCAGGCACCTCAGACCGTTTGCCTATTTTACGACAAGAATTATTTAGATCTTGTAGGACGGAAAATTCGAAAGTGCCGTTTTCTGGCTATTTGGAACCACTGTCGAGTTTGTATTGGGGTCAAGCGGCATTGCAGAAGAAAATAAGGCATTTAGATTTTAGGTCAGTTGTGAGTTGAAGAGGTTTTAAGTTCTTGAGAACACAGGCTAAGGGAGAAGAAGTAGGAATGAAAGGTGGAAGGTTGCCTATAGTGAAGGAGGCAAGTCCAGAGAAAAGAGAGGGTAGAGACATGGAGAGAAGGGGTGTGGGGTGCTTGCCTCCCAGGAAAGTGGAGAAGGGGTGGGGACACGGAGAGAAGGGGTAGGGGGTACTTGCCCCTCAGGAAAGTAGAGAAGGGTAGGTAGAGACACAGAGAGAAGGGGTGGGGGGTGCTTGCCCCCAAGGAAAGTGGAAAAGGGGTGGGAGGGGCTTGTCCCCCAGGAAAATGGTAAAGGGGTGGGAGGGGCTTGCCCCCCGGGAAAGTGGAAAAGGGGTGGGTAGAAACACAGAGAGAAGTGGTGGGGGGTGCTTGCCCCACAGGAAAGTGGAGAGAAAAGAGCATAGAGACGCGGAGAGAAGGGGTGGGGGGTGCTTGCCCCCCAGGAAAGTGGAGAAGGGGTTAGAGGTGCTTGCCCCCCAAGAAGTGGAGAAGGGGTGGGAGGTGCTTGCCCCCCAGGAAAGTGGAAAAGGAGTGGGAGGTGCTTGTCCCCCAGGAAAGTGGAAAAGGGTGGGTAGAGACACGAAGAGAAGGGGTGGGTGAGCAGCCCTGGGCTGCAATGTAGGTGAGCAGTCAAAGTAGGTGTCCCCGCAATTGACTTGCCACCAAGGGAATGTGTGTGAATGACCAAGACAGGTGTCCCCACGGTAATCAGACACCAATGAAATGTGGGTGAATAATCAGGCAGGCGTCCCCGCGTGATTAAACACCAAGGGAAGACTGTCTTCCCAAGTCCGTGACCGGCGCCAGAGTTTTGGGTCCACGGATAAAATGTGTCTCCTTTATCTCTACCAGAAAAGGAAAGGAACTGAAATTAAGAGAAGGGGGAGATTGAAGTGTGGCGCCAAGATTGAAAGGAGAAAGAGGTTGAGGGATAGTGAGAGAGATTGGAGAAGAGAGTAAAAAGAGGCCGCTTACCCGATTTAAAATTGGTGAGATGTTCCTTGGGCTGGTTGGTCTGAGGACCAGAGGTCTTAGGTGGATCTTTCTCACAGAGCCAAGAGCAGGAGGACAGGGGATTGATCTCCCAAGGGAGGTCCCCCGATCCGAGTCAAGGCACCAAATTTCACGCGCGTCCATGTGAAGAGACCACCAAACAGGCTTTGTGTGAGCAATAAAACTTTTTATTTCACCTGGGTGCAGGCGGGCTGAGTCCGAAAAGAGAGTCAGCGAAGGGAGATAGGGGTGGGGCCATTTAATAGGATTTGGGTAGCTAAAGAAAAATTACAGTCAAAGGGGTTTGTTCTCTGGCGGGCAGGGGCAGGGGTCACAAGGTGCTCAGTGTGGGTGCTTTTGAACCAGGATGAGCCAGTAGAAGGAATTTCACAAGGTAATGTCATCAGTTAAGGCAGGAACAGGCCATTTTCACTTCTTTCGTGATTCTTCAGTTACTTCAGGCCATCTGGATGTATACGTGCAGGTCACAGGGGATATGATGGCTTAGCTTGGGCTCTGAGGCCTGACACAACCCATTAGTGGTAATATCACCCCTCTTAGGAATGCATAAAATACCATCATAAAGACAAAAGCTTGAACCCCATTCCTGCTCCTCACTTCATGTATGATAGTGGAATCTTTTTTCAGTCTTTGTCAGCCTGCCCTTGGTCATCTGTAAAAGGGGACTCACAGTGCCTTCCTTAGGAAACTGTTCTGTGGGGCAAGTTAGAAATTTGTATAGAGTAGATGGCACCTAGTAGGACTTTAACAGGTGGTCGTCCTGGCCCAACTTTCTCCTCCCTCCCAAAGAAGTGATGACAGTTACCTAAATCAAACAATACAACTGACACAGAGACCACCAGGAAATGGGACGGGAAGTAGAATGTACTCACACTTACATTATGAATGAAGCGTTGGAGCCATTTCTCTGTTGCAGGAGGACGTTGCTGAGGGATATGGGAAGAGGGAAGAATATTGCCAAACCATTTCTTTAATTTTGCATTATTTTCTGTTCCCTTATTTGATCTTCCAGATTGATACCGGAAAAGCCATTTCCTATTGAGCCCAAAATGAAGAGAGTGCAAATAAAGAGAAGGCAGGAATCACAAGCCCTTGACAGACACATTGCCACCTACAGGACCCTGCACCCAGATTTCATCTGCACAATCAGCTTCTTCAAAGAGAGAGAGGCTGTCAAGTTAGTACCCATGAGGGCACAATACTAGAAATGTGTAAAACTATAAGTTTTTAAGTCCTAGAAAGTCATCATCTATAAAGGAGACTTTTGGGTATGCTTTGGGGAAGTTAAGCGGTAGAATCCCATTTCTGCTCCTTATTAGATGAGTCTGAAAAAATTGATTTTTCATGAGTGAGTTTGATTTTGTCATCTGTAAAATGAGAATAATGATGTCTTCCTCACAGAGTCATTGTGAGAAAATTATGCAAAAATGTAATTGTTTGTACATGTTTATATATGTGTCATAAAAAATAGGTGCCCTTTTGTACTTTTTTTCTCTTAAAATAGTGTTTCTGAGATATCTGTAAATAAGACAACTTTGAGGCTATTTTGATATTTTTAGCCATGCTACTGTGACCATTCTTACACAAGAGCCCGAGACTCCGCGGTTCAGAGCTAAGAGCAGAGTAGCTGATGGGGAACTCACTTGATTTTCTCAAAAATGTTGCCAAGTATCTCCACAAAGAAGTTGCACACATTTTTCCTCTCCCGGAAGGGTGATGGGGTTTTCATGGCCCCACATTGTCCATATAAAGAGGGTTCAGCGTAAACACAAAATCACCAACTGAGCTTTATTTTTAAGCGTTAGAGTTATTCCAGAATATTATATGAGTTGTGAAGTGGGATCATTATATTTGTATTTAGAAATGTACAAGTGAAATATGCTGCCATGGTTAGAATGTTTGCCCCCTCCAAAATGCATGTTGAAATTTGGTTGATTGCTATTGTGACTTTATTAGGAGATGGTGTTACCGGTGTGAGGTTCTTGGTTCTCAGTGTAACAGGAACTAATATGAGGCCAGGCAAATTTTTTCCAGGCAATGTTTATTAAGACTTATGCCCAGAAACACTGGGCGTAAGGGAGATGGCACAGGAAAAAGAGTCCTCCAGCTGGCTCCCCACGGGGAGCTTCTCAATGTTTTTTATTGAGTAGGGTAAAGAGATTGACATCAGGACTCCACCTCCTGGAGTGATTTCTTCCTTCCTGTTATGGTGTCTGTGCATGCTTTGTCCTGGTTGAAGTCTTGGTGCATGCTCAGTGGGTTCAAGATAGCGATGTTGCTCACTACTGCTGGCCCAAGAAGGTCATATAGTGGCCATTCTGGGGTCTCCTGTGCATGTAGAAGTTAGGGTCAACTGCCTTGGGGAAGATTTATGGTTGGAGTGTTACATATCTTAACTTCTTTAAGGTCCTGTTATCAGCAGGTATGGTGCCTTGAGTAAGATTTATAGTGCAAGGTCTGGATGGTCTAGTAGGGGTCCCTGCTGTCCACAGGGCCCCGCATCAGCTTGCAGCAGAGGTCCTTGGTGGAACACAGGGGACCTCAGGCTGTGGATGTGCTGATGAGGGTGCCCTTGGCTAGGCTGAAGTTGGCAGGTGTGGGCTGAAGCTGCTGCCTGCGCTATCGCCAGTGCCCTTGCTGTACCCAGCAGTGTCTGACCAGCCAGCAGCAGTAACACAAGGTCCTGAGGGCCACTCATGCACCGTGCATTACCAGTGCAGAGCTGTGCACAACACTGTCATCTTCCTGGCTCCAGGCTGCATCCCCATGCTCCAGGGACAGTGTGTGTAGTGAGCTCACGACAACATGTGTGGTGGGAACCCAGCAAGTCTGGAAAACAAAAATGCATTTGTGAGGATGAGGGCGATAAACCAAAAATAAAATTTAAATGCCTGCCATGCAACCATCTGAGTGGACTTCCTGTTCTGCCAGGGAGGGCACTCTAAAATTTAACCTGAAGGACTGGTTTAGGCCATCATGGGAAGTGGTGGTTGGACATGCCTCATTTTACCCCTCCAGCATTAATATTAACACAAACCTTAAATCTGATATGAAACATTTACAGTCTATTCTCTCTAAAGCCTGCTACTTGGAGGCTTCATCTGCATGATAAAACCTAGTGGCTCACGCCTGTAATCCCAGCACTTTGGGAGGCTGAGGCGGGTGGATCATGAGGTCAGGACTTTGAGATCAGCCTGGCCAACATAGTGAAAACCCGTCTCTACTAAAAATACAAAAAACTAGTCGGGTGTGGTGGTGAGCGCCTGTAATCCCAGCTACTTGGGAGGCTGAGGCAGGAGAATCACTTGAACCTGGGAGGCAGAGTTGCAGTGAGCCGAGATTGCGCCATTGCACTCCAGCCCAGGCGACAGTGCGAGACTTGGTCTCAAAAAACAAACAACAACAACAACAACAAAAACAAAAACAAAAAAACCTAGGTCTCTGCAACTCCTTATCATAACCCAGACATTCTTTTCTATAGATAAGAACTCTTTCAACCTGTTGCCAATCAGAATGTTTAAATCTATCTATGACCTGGAAGCCCACATCCCCACCCCCATTCCCTCCCCCCCTTTGAGTTGCGCCACCCTTCCAGATTGAACCAATGTAAATATTACATGTATTGATTGATATATTATGTCTCCCTAAAATGTCCAAATCAAGCTGTACCCCGACCACTTTGGGCACATGTCATCAGGACTTCCTGAGGCTGTGTCATGGGCGCATCCTTAACTTTGGCAAAATAAACTTTCTAAATTGATTGAGACTTGTCTCAGATAATTTTTGGTTGAAAGAGGCAAGTCCCATCCCTACTGTGTCTCAGTGGGACTGTCAATGAAAAAAGTCAAACTCGGCCGGGCGCGGTGGCTCAAGCCTGTAATCCCAGCACTTTGGGAGGCCGAGACGGGCGGATCACGAGGTCAGAAGATCGAGACCATCCTGGCTAACACGGTGAAACTCCGTCTCTACTAAAAAATACAAAAAACTAGCCGGGCGAGGTGGCGGGCGCCTGTAGTCCCAGCTACTCGGGAGGCTGAGGCAGGAGAACGGGCGTGAACCCGGGAGGCGGAGCTTGCAGTGAGCTGAGATCTGGCCACTGCACTCCAGCCTGGGCGACAGAGTGGGACTCCGTCTCAAAAAAAAAAAAAAAAAAAGAAAAGAAAAAAGAAAAAAGTCAAACTCGATACAATATTTGAAGAGATTTATTCTGAGCCAAATATGAGTGAACAATGGCCTATGATACAGCCCCAGGATATTCTGGGAAAGTGTGCCCAAGTGGTAAGGCTACAGCTTGTTTTTGTTTTGTTTTGCTTTTTGAGACAGAGTCTTGCTCTGTTGCCCAGGCTGGAGTGCAGCAGCATGATCTCAGCTCACTGCAACCTCCACCTCCCAGTTCAAGCAATTCTCCTGTCTCAGCCTTCTGAGTACCTGGGATTACAGGTGCGTGGCACTACACCCAGCTAATTTTTGTATTTTTAGTAGACACTGGATTTTGCCATGTTGCTGGGCTGGTCTCGAACTCCTGACCTCAGATGATCCACCCCACCCCCCCGGCCTCCCATACAGCTTGATTTTATACATTTTAGGGTGATATAAGTTATCAATAAATACATATAGGATGTACATTGCTTTGGTCAGGAAAGGCAGGACAACTGGAAGCTGGGGAGGGGGCTTCCAGGTCATAAGTGGTTTTAAAGATTTTCTGATTGGCAATTGGTTGAAAGAGTTATTATCTAAAGACCTGGAATCAATAGGAATGTCTGGGTTAAGAACAAGGGGTTGTGGAGACCAAGGTTTTATCATGTAGATGCAGCTCCAGAGAGAGGCTTCAGAGCTCTTATCAGACCTAAAAAGGTGCCAGACTCTTGGTTAATTCTCTCCTGGATCAGAGGAAAGACCTGGAAAGGATAGGGAATTCTCTACAGAATGTAGATTTTTGCCAGAAGAGACAACTTTGCAGGACCGTTTCAAAATATGTCAAGGAAATACGTTTTGTGGTAAAATTCTTTGATTCCTTTCAGGGCCTGCTATCTTGTGATGCTATACTAGAGTCAGTCTGGAATTTGGTGTCTTATTTGGTGTCTTTATTGCTACAAAGTCTTGTTTTGTCAGTCTTAAGATCTCTTTTAATGTTAGTGCTGGTTAGTTGTGCCTGAATTCCAAAGACAGAATAGCATAATGAGGCATGTCTGACCACCCATTCCCGTCATGACCTGAACTAGATTTTCAGATTTACTTTGGAATGCCATTGGCCAAGAGGGGAGGTCTATCAGTCTGTTGGGGGGGCTTAGAATTTTACCTGTGGTTTACAGAACTTTTGAGAAGTGTTTGGGCTGTGAAGGCTCTACCTTCATGAATGGATTGTCATTATTACAGAAGGTGGTTCATTATTGCAGGAATGAATCTGTTATAAAAGGGTACATTCAGGTCCTCTTTGTCTCTTGCCCTCTGCCCTGTGATGACACACCGAGAAGACCCTCACCAGATGCTGGTCCCTGAATCTTCAATTTCTCATCCTCCATAACTGTGAGCCAATAAAATTCTGTTAATTATAAATTACCCAGTCCCAGGTATTGTCTTAGAGCAGCAAAAACAGACTAAGACAGGAAATTGGTGTCAAGAAGCCTGGCTGTTGCTATAAAAAAAAAAAAAAAAAAAAAAAAACCGGCCGGGTGCGGTGGCTCAAGCCTGTAATCCCAGCACTTTGGGAGGCCGAGGCGGGCTAACACGGTGAAACCCCGTCTCTACTAAAAATACAAAAAAAAGAAATTAGCCGGTCGTGGTGGCGGGCGCCTGTAGTCCCAGCTACTCTGGAGGCTGAAGCGGGAGAATGGCGTGAACCTGGGAAGCGGAGCTTGCAGTGAGCCGAGATCGCGCCACTTCACTCCAGCCTGGGCGACTCCGTCTCAAAAAAAAAACAAAAACAAAAAACAAAAAACAAACCTGTAAACATAGATGCAGCTTTGGAACTGGATAATGGGTGGAGGCTGGAAAAATTTGGAGGAGCAGAGTAAAAAACCTAGATTTCCATAAATGGAGCAATTCAGGTGAGGGCTCAAAGAAGAGAACTGTAGGGAAAGTCTGAAACTTCTTAGAGATTACTTAAGTGGTAATTACTGGGTGAGGTGTCAGTCCCAGCATCAGAAAGTGGTCGACTTGCAGGTTGTTAAGAATTTA